ACCCCGGACAGCTCCTGCCTGCATGCTCGTTGTTTTCTTTTTCTAGGTGGGCATCCTCCCTCCTCCCTCTCCCTCCCCCTCCTCCCTCCCTCCTCCTCCTCCCTCCTCCTCCCACTCCTCCATCCTCTTCCTCCTCCCTCCTCCTCCTCCCTCCTCCCTCTTCTTCCTCCCCCTCCTCCCTCCCTCCTCCTCCCTCCCTCCCTCTCCTCCATCCTCTTCCTCCTCCCTCCTCCATCCTCCCTCCTCCCTCTCCCTCCCCCTCCTCCCTCCTCCCTCCCTCCTCCTCCCTCTCCTCCATCCTCTTCCTCCTCCCTCCTCCTCCCACTCCTCCATCCTCTTCCTCCTCCCTCTCCCTCCCCCTCCTCCCTCCCTCCCTCCTCCTCCCTCCCTCCCTCTCCTCCATCCTCTTCCCCCTCCCTCCTCCTCCTCCTCCTCCCTCCTCCTCCTACTCCTCCATCCTCTTCCTCCTCCATCCTCCTCCTCCCTCCTCCCTCCCTCCTCCTCCCTCCCTCCCTCTCCTCCATCCTCTTCCTCCTCCCTCTTCCCTTTCTCCTCCTCCCTCCTCCCTCCTTCCTTCTTTCCTTTCTCCCTCCTCCCTCCTCTGCCCTCCTCCCTTCTCCTCCTCCCCCCTCTCCTCCCTCAACTTCCTGTTTATCGATGTGTTTACACTTTACTTTTGGAGTATCTTTTATGAATTATGTCGTCTCTGTTGCTGATGTCCCAAAAATAATTCACATAAACTAGAGTCTTTTCTTGTGGTTCTTTGCCTTTTTGTGGCTCTAGCTGTTTCCCCCCAGACTTTTATTTATTTATTTTTTTTAAAATATTTATTTATTTATTTTAGTTTTCGGCAGACACAACATCTTGGTTTGTATGTGGTGCTGAGGATCGAACCCAGGCCGCAGGCATGCCAGGCGAGCGCGCTACCGCTTGGGCCACATCCCCAGCCCCTCCCCCCAGACTTTTAAATTTCTGTATGTTTTCTTCTTTTTCTCCCCCTCAAAAACTCCAATGTTCGGGTTCATTTCTCAATCTCACTTTCTAACGTGCACGTTCCCTGCCTTGTCTGTCCTTAGCTTTGTTTTCAATCTGTGGGTTTTAATTTGTGAGCTGTGAGCTCAGCAGGGTCTTCCTCCTGCCCTGTGGGGGTGCGAGTATTTGAGGCTACGACTTTTCCTTCAAGGTTTGCATTAGCTGCATCTCGTGGGCCTGCTGTGGCCTCTGACCTCACTGTGCCTTCACCCACCGCCACGCTCCTCCCACATCACGAAGGTCCAGCACAGGACGCCCAACATAAAGCAATGCAAACCACGTATGTAATTTTAACTTTTCTGCATTGAAGTACACAGATGAAAATAATCTAAATATTTTATTCAAATCAATATTCCAAGTCGCTTTCATGTCGATGTGTAATCAATCACAGAACCATAACCAGTGAACCTGTCCATGTTTTCCTGTGTGGGTCTTTGATATCTGGGACGTACTGGACGCTGACAGCAGATCTCAGTCCACACTGGCCCATTTGGGGTAGTGGCAGCGCGTGGCCCCATGGCGGCAGGCGTCTCTCAGGGTCTCTCTGCCTCTCCTACCTCCAGGACGGCCCTGAGCAGGTGCTTTGTCAGACCCAACGGGGGCCATGGTCGCCCCACATTGGAAGCCCTGGAGGAGACGCCAAGCCAGTGTCCACACACGTCCCTCGGTGTTGGTCAGCACCTCAGAGCAGGCAGCTTGGCCTCAGATGGAAGCCCAAGGCCAGGGCTCCCTGGGAGGTCTCTCGCGGGCCTGCCGATGGTCACCCTCCTGCTGGGTTGTCCCGTGTCCTTGTGCGGGCACAAGCCGAGCCTGATGTCTTCTTCTTATAAGGACACGTCACATGGGAGGAGGGCTCAACCCCTCTGACCCATCGGCCTCAACCACCTCGTCAAAGGCCTAATCTCCAAACGTGGCCACATGCCCAGGTCCAGGGGCCAGCTTCGGCATGATTTGGGGACACGGTGGTCCCATAGGGTGATCCCGAGCACCTGCCACCTCTGTCCCTGGCCCTCATTCCTCCTCCCGCAGGCCACAGCCCAGAGTTGCTGCCAGCTGTGGGCAGGGGAGCACCTGTGTATCCAAGGAGGGGCGCATCTGTCTGGGGCTCAGGCCTTGTCACGGGGACATCTTATCAGGAGCCAGGCACGGAGGCTCCGGCCCATGACACCAGGTGGCGCACCTGCTGTTCCTGAAGGTCAGACAAAGGGAAACCCAGCACCCAAGGGTCCCCAAGACACACAAGGGCCAGCCTTGTGCAGGACAAGACCATGATCACGAAGAGCAGCCAAAGGGCCAGTGGCAGGGCCCACCGACACCACATGGCCCACCTTCCTTCAGAGAGAAGCCCCATGTTAGGGTGACAGTGAGCACAGCTCACACGCCACTCCCAGCCACCCCCTCCTCTAGGGTGCCACGTGACCTCATCCTGGCTGACGAGATGGCCGGGGCTTTTCATCCCTATTGCCCTTTCCTCTCTCTTCCTGCCTGGAACCCCTGTAAGGTTCCTGGAGCAGCAGCAGCCTTCTCGTAGACATGAGGATGAAAGCCACATGTCAAGGGTGGCAGAGCCGAGCGAGGGCAGAGGCAAGTCCCTGGAAGTCAGGAGCCGCCGCACCACCGCCTGGGAACAGGTGCCTGACATCTTGCGATGTGTGAAATCAAACTCAAGCAACAAAAGCCTCCGTCAGTCACAGTCGTCCACCTGCTCATTGTCACGGCTGGCACAGTGGCTGCCGCGGCGTGGCTAGGGCACAGCCCGTGTGCTCACAGTGCCGTTGCCCAGGAGCCTCCGGGCAGCAGGTGGCACACGTGGAGCCCCAGAGTCTGTGTTCTCCAGAACGTTCTTAGTGGCCAGTTGGAGAAACCAGTATGAGGTGCTCCAGGGGGTCAGTGAGGGCAGCAGTGGCCATCCTGGCTGGGGGCCTGGGCTTCTGTCCCCACTGGACCGTGCCCCTGGAGCAGGACGTCGCCTCCCACCGTCCCAGCAAGAGCCCAGGCTGCAGCTCCCTGGACCAAGAGGAGAGCCCTCTGGGGAGCCAGAGGGCCCCTCCCGCCCCAGCTCCGAGCCACAGAACAGCGGGCACCCACCCCCCCCCCAGAAGAGCACGGGGCTTCGCTTCCCAGAGACGGGAGAAGTCCCGCCGGGGGCCTTGCAGACAGCTGGACGACGCTCCCTGATGGCGATGGGGACGTCCCTCCCCAGCTCAGGCAACAGCATCCAGAGCCCTCGCTACCCACGGCTGACCGTCCACGGCAGGCGACGGACGCTCTGCCCGGCACTGGCCCGACCCGACATCACAGAGCACAGCAGGCCCGGGGCCCCTCCCTCCGCTGTCCCCCCACCGGGTCCCCTTGGGCTCCCAGGTCCTGCGGGAGCTAAACAAGGACTTCTGGGCTCAGGAGGGACCAGGAGACACAAAGACAGCAGAGACCCCACTGGCACTCTCTGTGGGTCCTTCAACCAGAGCTCCCCCCACCCTCGCCCCCAAGTGTCATTGGCCCAGACAAGGGGGACAGGGAGACTGGGGCCCCCTTCAGGGCAGGGACACCTCTCCTGACAGGTGGCCGGGTCCCTTAGGGATGCACAGGAGGCGCCCACTCTCCAAGCCCCCGGCCCTCGGCTTGGCTCAGGTTCCCGAGGGACTGTCTGTCACGTTCCACCGGGTTCTGGGGACAGGGCTCCGCAGCTCCGGCCCCACCGTCGGAGCACGTCTGGCCCAGTCCTTCCCCGCGGAGCTGCGGAAGTGCTTCCTCCCTCTCCCCGAGGAGATGCCACCAGCCTGAGATGCAGAACCTGCCGGAGGGTCTTAGGGACCACCCAGAGGTGCCAGCTCAGCTGCCTGAGGTGGAGCCGGGTGGCATCTGCCACAGTCTCCCCAGGCCATGGCTGCCCCAGGCTGACCGTTATGTCAGTGGTCACCACGGCTCATGTGGCTGGGACAGGGTGCTGATTCTTGGCCCTAAATCAGTTTCCCGGTCCTGCTGACCCTCTCAGGTGGCTCTTGGCACAGACGATCAGAGGATGCGGGTGGGCCCCGTGGCTTGGCCACCAAGTTGACCCCTGTGCCTGGACACTGGCAGGTAGCAGGGCTTTCCTGCCACACACTTATCTGACCCCCGGGATGACCACTGAGGGAGGAGGGCCCCATGAGAGGTGGAGACTGAGGTGTGACAAAGGTCCCCACAGGGCCAGGTTGGACTCCGGCCTCAGGTCTGTCCGGGGCTCCTTCCTGGGGGCTGCTGGGAGGAAAGCCTCCATACCCCCTGGTCCCTCGGGAGGCAGGAGGTGTCCCCCTAGGGTGCAGGAGCCCTGGCCGGGTCACCTGCAGGCGAGCCCTGTGAGCGGTCCCAGTTGTCCTTGTGTCTCCATCAGGCCCCCCTGCACATGTGCTCATGGAGAGTTGGAGGCTCAGAAAGTCAGAGCAGGACACGCCCCAGGACACTGGCAGTGACAGGGACCCACAGCCTGTGGCAGAGGGTGGAAACCGTCCCTGCAACACCCCACACCGTGGGCCGGCCTCTGCCTGGTGGGTGGAATGCGGGTCTGTGCCTGCCCAGCAGGTGAAGGGCTAGCGCCGTCCACCCCATCAGATGGACCCTGAGGGCAGGGGGCAGGGAGCATTCCCCAGAGCCACCAGTGGGCACAGTCCTGGCCAAATGCACCTCAGCAGAGACCAAGGACACCCTGTGACTGCGTGTGCGGTAGCCGATAAACGCGTCCACCCTCCAGAGGGGACAGGTTGCCCCTGCAGGAGGCCCGGGACGGGGAGGGCTTCCTGCCGGGCCCGAGGCCTAGTCCCTTTTGGGTCTGGGGGGCCGGGGCCGTGGCGGGGCCAGCCTGTGGTCGAGGTAGGCTCCGAGGCAGGACCACAGGAGGAAGCGGACCAGCAGGATGACCACCAGCAACACCAGGAGCAGGTCGGGGCCCGAGCCGCCCCCCAGCCAGGAGGCCATGCCCACTCCGGCCTCCGGGGGCCCCGTCAGGCTTCCCTCCCACCAGACTCCAGCCAGGGCCTCCCCGGCGACGGGCAAGGGGACAGATCGGGACTACAAGCCGCCTCCTTGGTCAAGAGGCCCATGTGCCATTCATCCGGAGGCAGCCACTCTCCCGGCCCACAATGACAGCATTGTCCCGAGGCCTGGGGGCGGGAGGCCGCCCGGAGCCCGCCTCCCTCGCTGTCCCCGCGGCCCCTGCCCGCCAGCGCTGACGTAATCCCCAAACATCTCCGGCGGTGGCAGCTGCTGGGCGAAGCAAGGCCGCCTCCGGCTCCTCCAGCCGCCCACGCAGCTCTTCCGGCCGCCGCGAGACAATCGGGCCCTTTCTGTCCCCAATTAGCTATCACTTCTGGAGCCGGCGCTGCCCGAGGCCGGCGGTCTTTGCAGCAGCAGCAGCAGGCCGGGCGGGGAGGCGGCTGCACAAACGGGATGAGGACAGTCGGCTGGCCCAGGGGCCACCCCAGACGCCGCTCAATTAGCACATGGCCTGCATCCTCGTCCTGAGGCCCAGGACATCATGGGGGGTCAGCGCAGGCTGCAGCAGGACAGCTCAGGGAGGCCCAGCCCCCGGACTCGCCTGATCCCCCAGGAGGCCGCCCAGCTGCCCGGGGCCTCCCTTCTCACCCACCAGCCCACCCAGAGGCGTGGAGGGGACCTGGCCCTCAGGGACAGACAGTCCTGTTGGTCCCCGCACGTCCCTCACAGGGTCCCTGCCTGAAGCCCCAGCCTCCACACTCACCCAGAGACCAGGGCCAGCCGCTCCGCACTCGCTGTGGCTCCTCCTGGGACCCCGGCCTTGAAGGACTGGGGGACAGAGGCGGCCACAGCCCTGCCCAGGGCACCCCACACCTCTCCTCTCCTAACGCTGTGCGCAGGGACAGCACCCTCGTGGGCCTGCCCAGGAGCAGCACTGGCCTCACAGCGGAGCCCCCACCCCAGCTCGAGGGGCCACAGCAGGACCAGGGGGTCTGGCGTGGTCCAGCGCAGCCACACGCTCACCAGAAAACGGTCCGAGGAGCCTCGGAGAGGCGAAGGGGCCTTCTAGGGCTGTGGCCTCTGCGACTCGTCCTTGGCCACCTGATGCCAGTCCTGGGATTCTTCTTCAGATGCAGAATGAGTGCTGGCCCCGCTCAGGCCTTCTAGAAAGTTCCAAGCAGGGACAAATGCAGGGGATTGAGGGGACACACCTCACAGAGAAGGTGGAGGGTGCCACGGCGCTGGCTGGGCCTTCCTCACCGCGGGACCCCACCCAGGCCCTCTGCTGTCCGGCCCGCCCTCCCCACCGCCCTCGGCTCCCTCCCAGACACCTGAGGACCAGGGTCTCTGCTCTGCGCCGTGGGGAGCGTCTGTCCACAGAGAGCAGCACCCGACTGTCCAGCGCTTGGCAGAACGTCACTCTCAGGGGCACAAGGCTCCGGGTTCTCCATCACCGCAGACCGCGTGAGAGTCAGACGTCAGGAGGCCGCCCCAGTCGGTAACTGGGCTGGGCGTCTGCTGGACGAGGGCTTCCAGAACTCACTGCCTGCCAGGGTGAGGGACCAGCAGGGAGCAGCCACGCACCTGGAGAGGACAGAGGCCGCGGCTCAGCCGATGTCGCTCACCCGAGAGGCCATGTCTGGAGACGGGAGCCGCCCGCCTGCGCCCAGCCACAAGCTCAGGCCTTCTAGGCAGGTGGGGCCGAGGTGGCTCTGGACAGAACTCCCTGTGTTTGCCGAGCACACAGTCAACACACAAAGTCAACAACTCCCAGTCACATGGTCACACACAGGGGACTCCAGGGCACAAAGGACTGGACCCTCCCTCCCATTCAGACGTCCTGGGCCTCGGGAGTGGGAAGGACAAGGTCAGCACGCCCTTCCAGGAAGCAGTGCCCCGAGCTGTCCCTGGGCAGCATCGTGGCAGTGCTAGGGCCATGTCCTCCTGGGGGAGGCTGCGGGGCCACGGGTGCGGGGTGCGGGCGCAGAAGGTGGCCAATGTCCCAAGGAGAACGTGAGAATGAAGCCCAGCCGGCCAGCACTCGGCGGGGGTGGGTGCTCCCTGGGGGCTGAGGACACCGTGGCGCTCCCCACCTGGTCCCCAACTACCAGTGACAGTGACCCGCCCTCCACTCCCGTCCCTTGGGCCCTTGGCAGGGCCTGTACACCACCTCAAAGGCCCTTCACCCCAGCCTGCCTCGGGGTGTCCCGGCTGCGGGATGCCCACTCCTGGGAGTCACCGGCCTCAACTCCAGGCACCCGTGGCCAAAGACTTAAAATAGGGGGTGACCGCCGGGTCCCTGGGGCAGGAAGGAGAGAGCTGAGGGCCACTTAGCCCCAGAACTGCCCCCAAGAGGGCAGAGAAAATGGGCTCGTCCCCCTCAGAGGACCTTCGGGGCTCCTGTCCTCCTTCTCCTGGGCCACCACCTGTGGGTGACAAGTGTCTACGGGCACAGACCCAGACATGAGCCCCGAGCCCTGAGCCAGCCGCGTCCACAGAGCTGAGCAGCAGAGGCTCCTGGCCCCTCAGGAAGGCCACGCTGGGGGACGATGGTCACTCCCAGGACTTCCACAAGCCAGGACAAGGAAGCAGGTGCCCCGAGCTGTCCCTGGGCAGCTACCCTCAAATGCCAAGTGTTGGAACAGTGACTGGGGACAGTCGCCATCGCTGTTCCCTAACGTGGCTCAGCGGGTGACACCTGGCCACAGGTAAAGTGGGGCAGGGCTGCGGAGGGAAGAGAGTCCCCATGGGTGTCGCCGGGTCCCCCCTCTGGACCCTCAGTGCAGGTGAGAGTCGGGAACAAGCCCCAGGGCCCCACCCAGGTGCCTATGAGGTCTCCCGGAGCTGTGTCCACCCCAGACCCCCGTGGTGCTCACGGCCTGGTGTCCTGACCCATCAGAGGGGACCGTGGCCCCTCTCAGCTCTGGAGCAGGGGCACTGGCAGGGGAAGCCCTGCTCATGGGCCAGACGCAGAGCTGAGGCCCTGACCCACTGCACCCCCGGGGGGGGACTGCAGCAACGTCCCCGCTGGGCCCTCTGCCCTGTCACCTGGCCAAGAGGCTGGCTCTGGAGCTTAGAGCTCACCCTCACCTACTCCCCCGCTGAGCTCTTCTGTACCTCTAGAAGGTGGGCTCCCACTGAATCCCCCCCCGCTGGGCATCTAGAAGGTGGGCTCACACTGAATCCCCCGCTGCTGGGCATCTAGAAGGTGGGCTCACACTGAATCCCCCGCCGCTGGGCATCTAGAAGGTGGGCTCACACTGAATCCCCCGCCGCTGGGCATCTAGAAGGTGGGCTCACACTGAATCCCCCGCCGCTGGGCATCTAGAAGGTGGGCTCACACTGAATCCCCCGCCGCTGGGCATCCAGAAGGTGGGCTCACACTGAATCCCCCGTTTCCATGAGACCAGACCGCAAAGCCTCCAGCTGCAAAATAGGCCCAAAGTGAGGCATCCTCAGCAAGGTCCCCCTGCAGATCTCCTTTTCCTTTTTGCAAAAGCAAGACACGCTTAGTATTAAATCAATCTAAAAAAAAGGCAGAAATGTCAATGTCAGCTACTTCCACCCAGATGCAGCCGGAGACAGTGGGGACCCCTCCAGGGTCACGGACACCCTGGGTGGCACCTGTGAAGCTCTCCGGCCGGCCCACTCCTTGCCCAGGGACTCGGCACCTCGGAACCCAGCGGCTGGCGCACGTCACCGGGTTTGCACGGAGACGCTCCCGATGCAGACAGGCGAGGATCCATTTTGACCCTCCTTGCACCCCACAGCAGATTAAAGTCGCCCACCCTCGGGCGAGTGGGCAAAGAGGAGAGCTTCCCCACCGAGGGGACCCGCGCAGCAGACCCCTGTGCCTCCCGAGGACGGCCCTGGCCATTCCAAACGCCCTGCTCGGGGCACAGAGCCCAGGCAGAAGAGGGCACCTGAGAAAGGGGCCCTGTAGCCCCCGCAGCAGTTGGGAGCTGGTGGGTAACTTGGTCCCAGTGACCAAACAGCTAGGTGGGGACACTGTCAGGAGCAGAATGACATTCCCAATAAATGAGCCTCGTCCAGGAGCTGGTACAACACGGGTTAGGGCTCACGGAGAAAACACGGTTTACTCAGCCGACCCGGGGGAGGTCCTTAACAGCCCCCTCACTCGGCCCCTGATGGGAGGAGAGAACATGAGCCCCCTGTGGTCCGCACAGACGTGGGTGTGTGGGGGACACCACCGCCCTGTGTGCACAGAGTTGACAAAACTGTGCATCTGGGAACATTTCAGCAGAGACCGTGCACAGTCCCCCAGGGGAGGCCGCTGTCCCCAGAGTCCCGGCTTCACAGTTAGAACGGGGGCTGCAGGTGGAGCGAGCAGTGCCAGCCGCCCCCTTTGCGTCCTGGTGGGGTCCCGGCAGGCTCCGGGGTCCCTGGACACGGCTGGTGTTGTAAGGCAGAAAGTCGGCCAAAGGTGGCCGGGGCCTTTGCCGATGCTGGCGGCCCTCCGTGAGCGCCCGAGACAGACGGGCAGCCCCAGGAGGGGACGTCTCCTGCTCCTTTCTCCTTTTCCTTGATCGGCGAGCCCAGCCCACTCTCAGGCGCAGCGGGCGCCCTGCAGGAGTTAACGGGGGCTGGCGGGAGAGGCTGGGCTCTGGACAGGGCACCCCAGGGTTCCTCCCGCTGTGTGGCCGTGTCCCCTTTGCCCAGGGCCTCAGCGAGGACCCTTTCTTTGTCCCCAGAGGCGGGGGAGAGGCGGAGGGGGTCCACCTGCAGCACTGGGCCCCTGCTCCTCCCGCCGGACGTCGAGACGCTGGAGAAACCCGCAAGATGAAGAATTTCCCAGGAAACTGCTAAGAAGGGATGATCTGATGGATTCGATTTAAAAAAAGAAAGAAGTCACTTGTGGGGGCAGGACGCCCAGCGCGTCCCCGCCCAGAGCCTCTCTGGATTTCTACAGTCGAGGGAAGGCAAGCGAGGGGACAGGGACAGGAGAAGGTGCCCATTGTCACCAAATGTGACTGGGGGGCGGGCTTGCCGGCACTTCAGCGCATCACATCTCACCCTGAGGGACGCTGCCTACGGCGGGTGACAGTGTTCCCTACCAAGCAGAGGAGGCCACTCAGGCCAGGTTGGGCGTGGACGACACCCTGGGGCCTGCCGGCCAGCAGCTGCCCGGCCTTAGCTCTCTCCAGGCCACCCAGCCTCCTGGGCGCAGGCCTCTCCGCCCAGCTGTTTCCACACAGGGGACTGTGTGGGCTGCTCAGAGAAGGCACCTCGGTCTCTGCCTCACCTGGGACTAAGTCCAGCACCTGTCCTGGCCTCCTGGCCCCAGAGGCCCCAGACAGCCCTGAAGGGCCAGCAGCCTCTGGGGGTCCCCGTCAGTGTCCGAACCTGAGTGGTCAGCTGAGGGCCAAGGTTCCCACACAGCGGCCAGCACTCAGGGAAGGTGGACCGGAGCCGGACCCGGTGGTCCCTCCCGGTACACAGGCACACACGTGCACATGTGAGACAGGCAGACACACGCGTGCCGTGGACAAGCGCACTGCAGACACTCCCCAAAGAAGACACACAGGGGGCCCCAACACGGAAGGACAGTCCAACATCTCCAGCAATTAGGGACGTGAAACTGACCCCCCGGGTCTCCCCCCGTCCAGTCAAGATGGCGGCCATCAACGCCACAAAGGGAAGAAGCGCCACAGAGGGTGTGGGGAAGGACCGTTTTTAAGGGTTGGTGGGACGGTAGGTCGGGGCGGTGACCGTGGGAGCCCGGCGTGGGCCATCCATGGGCCAGCTGCACGGTCCTCGGTGTTTACCCTGAGGAATCACGGCCGTCACCAGGGACCCGCACACCCATGTTTACGCAGCAGTTCACAGTAGCCAGGCTGAGCCGGCCTAGCTGTCCGCCCACAGGCAGAAGGACGGTCCAGGTGCCCGTGGCGTCTCCTTCAGCCACGGAGAGACACTAGTCTCGTCGTTTGCAGGGAAGCAGGGGAGGTGGCGAGCAGCTGCCCAGTGGCAGGAGACGGACCGAGAGGTCGGGGTCGCGGGTCACCTTTCACATGTGGAAGACAGAGAGAGTCAAGGGACCCGTGACACCAGGAGAGAGACCAGGAGTGGTGGAGGGGCCAGGGGACGGAGGCACCGACCAGGTCATGCTCCGTGAGTGACCAGTCGGCCACCGCGACCCGCTAGCACGTGTGGCCTGGATGCACCGATGGAAACCCATCTGAAGAAGCTTCAAGCTGCAGAAGAAAGAGCCAGGGCAGAGTCAGACCCAGAGAGGGACCGGCAGGAGTCGCGTCTCGAGGTCCAGCCAGGATCTGTGGCCACGCCGAGCGAGGGGTCTCGGATGTGCACGCCGTGGGCAGCGGCTGAAGGAAGCAGGTCTGGGCCGCCCCCTGACCGCACAGAGAGGCAGAGACCCCGGGACAGCTGGCGAGGGGCCCGGGGGACAGGCTGGGGCGACCGCGGCCCAGAGTCCCCGGGAGAGGAGAGGGTGCAGGCCAGGCCCTCAGGCCACCGTGGAAGACCAGGATGGCAGGAGGGCAGGGACAAGCGTGGGGGGCCGGGCAGTGGGCGTCCCCTCCGTGTGCTGGCGTCCCATGTCCTGGTGGTTGGGGGCCTCCTCGCTGTTAACCGTGACCTTCTCCCGTGAACTGTGACCCCCCGGAGGCCGGAAGAGCATCTGGTTAGGGCGCCTGACACTCAACAATGTGAGGCGGGTGAGGCCGGAGACCGCAGGAACCCAGCTTGGCCCTTCCGCCAGGCAGTGGGTGGTCCCCTCCCCACCCCGGGGGTGCAGCCGCTCCAGATTGGCCACCGACTGGCCAGGGTGGCCTCCTGCGCTCACGCGTCCGTGTCTCCACCCGTAGGCCTCCCAGGGCAGGACCTGCCTCGGCCCTGCTGAGCCTCACACCTGGCAAGGAGCCTGGCACCCAGGTGCTGGTGACCCTGACTAAAGGAACCTTAGAAGGCACCTGAGCCACAGTCCTGTCCTCCTGGCCCAGTCCTGTCCTCCTGGCCCCATGCCCTGCTTCAGGTCAGAAGGCCCTGGACAGGTGACGGAACACTGGCCTGCTTGCCCAGGGGCTGGACTTGAGAAGCAGTCACCCTCTTACCAGGCCTGTCACAGCAGGTGGCTGCCGTCTTCAGACCTCAGAAGCCTGTTGAAGGGTGACACTGTTGTTGGATTTTATGGAGCACATACTGTATGCACCCATCAATCAGGAGATATCCGAACCTCCTGCCGAGACCTCACCAGTGGGGTTTCACTTCCTTGGCCAACATGAGGCAGCATCTTCCTGGTCCCCCCAGTGCCCAGGCACGTCTCACCTCATCATCCTGAGCCCACAGATTCTGATGGCCCAGCATGGCTGCCGCGCCACCTGCCCTCTATCAAGGCTCCCAGAGGAGTAAAGAGCTCAGGACAGGAGGCGGGGCCTGCATGAGGAAAGGAAAAGCCCACAGGGCAAGTCCTAGCCGACTTTCACTCGTGGTACTTCAGCCAGAACGGTGACATGCGCCCTGGATTCCACGGCCGCCGGAAGATCAGGAATCTTCACCGGGCACATTTCTGACGCGCCTGCCCCCAGGGTTCTCTCAGGAAGGGAGGAGACCAGAGGAGGCTGGGCAAACGCCAGGCAGCCTCGCCCAGCTCGGCACTTCCAGATGGTTCCACAATCATTCCTCAAAGACACATTTTGGGCAGGCGCGGTGGCGCGCACCTGAGATCCCAGTGGTTCAGGAGGCTGAGACAGGAGGATCACGAGTTCAAAGCCAGCCTCTGCCACGGTGAGGCGCTAAGCAGTTTAGACAATTCAGCGAGACTCTGTCCCAAAATCAAAAGTGAACAGGGCCAGGGGCGGGGCTCCAGGTCGGGAGCCCCTGAGCTCAGTTCCCCCTGAACCAGAAAACAAAGACAAGACGGGTTTGGGTTTCGGGGATTGTTTACTTCGTTTTTCTAACAATCTGCAGCCACAGAAGGGGGCGGTGGGCGGGCGGGGCCGCCCTGGACCTCCTCAGGACTGGGGGCTCCTCCGCGGCCCCCGGCTTCTGTTCGCAGCTCCTCAAAGGGGCTTTAGTGTTGCCTTTGAGGAAATTTCCCCAAAACTGTCCTCCAAACACTGTCCCGCCCCCCGCGACCTCAAGAGTCAGAGCAGCAGCGTGGACGCGGCTCTTCTCCATCCTCAGAGATGACTGTCCCCGAGGGCCAGCCCCGAAGCCCCCCTGCTCTCTCCCAGATGCCCCCCACCCCCGTGTCGCGGGTGGTGACGTAGGTGGAAGGCTGCCGTGTGGACCACGGCCGGGGCCTACGCGCCCTGGGTGTGACCCGAGTCCCACACCTGTTCTGGGAATCTGGCCACCAGAGGGGAGGATGCCAAGAGGGACTTCCACTCGGCTTCCCCTCCCTGCCTCCTCCCACCCAGGTCCCCAACCCCCCCAGCGCCCCACCC